CTGAAGGGGGAGACAGAAGGGCCTTCGGTCACTGTTCTTAGGCTTGGCCGTTGATCATGAACGGGGAGAGAGGGATCATGTTGATAAAAATGGAAAAGGCTAAGGACGAGGGGAAGAAAGGAAGATCGGAAAGAAGGAAGAAAGGGTGGAGAGAAGGAAAGCAGGGTGGGAAGAAGGATGGTAAAGGAGAGGAAAAGATGGAATACAGTGGAAGTAACTGGAGAGAAATTGAGGATGGAAGAAAAAAAAGAAGAGGGAGAGGAAGAAATTGAACAAGCGTAAGGCGTGTGAGGACAGGCGAATGACAAAGAAGAGAATGACATCTAGAGGGGAGGAAAGGGAGGAGGGGAAGGAGGAGGGGGCTAAGGAGGGAAGGGGTTAAATCACCTTGGGAAGTCACGGTGATGCTATTTCCTGGCCCGCGCGCGTGAGGGTGACTCAGGCACTGACTTGAGTACCTGCACTCTTAAAATCTCCTGCAGGTGCGTGTACTCTGAGTCCCTCGGGACGCTCAGATTACATGCATATGTATTACACATATATGTCAACATACATCATATCTATAATTCAATATAGTCATACACACGAAAAAAAAGAGACGCCAGCATCTTGGATATATACACTGCTTCCCAATCAAGGTTATGGTTACATAACTTAAAATCAACATTTGCATGTATCGTTCAAGGTGAAGGACTAAGCACAAAATCGAATCGATACATTTGGCCTTTTCAGCAAACGGCAAGAAAGACTATTGCTTAGAATACATCTCTTTTGTAATGGAATTAAACTATCATTTTCCGCCAGCATAAGAAAATTCCGCCAGCTGCAGGCGGGTAATTGCCGTGAACAGTGTCTAAAACGCATCCAGTAAACACGGCCATGCGTGAGGTGGATTCCTCGCCGGCGTTATTAAAGCTAGCACGCACTCGAGCGTCGCTGTTTCTCATTAATTGCACTTCGTCCTTTTACAACGAAATAAAAGAAAATCGCGTTGATGTCGTTTTTCTTCTATTCATTACATTTACGAGGCGAGAAAAGAAAGGAATCGCCCCACTCGCTGCGCCATGAAGCTCGCCATCGTCAGCGATGCGTGGCGGAAAGAAAAAAAAACAAAAGACGCGCAAGTTAACAGCAGCGGCGGTAATGCGGGACAACCTTGGTGTTGGTGTACTCATTCAAGGCCGCTCGGGGGAAGACCAGGGGGAGGGAGGCGAAGGTGGGGGATAGGGGTGAAGGGAGGGGAAGGAAGAACAGGAATGAGAAGAAAAATGGGAAAGAGGAAGGGGAAGGAGATGGGGAGAGGAAAGAATACGGAGGAAAAAAGAAAAGGAGAGGACGAAGAAGGTAAGAAAAGTAGGCTAGGAGAAGGAGAAAGAGAGGGAGGAGAGAGATGTACAGGGAGGAGATTAGGAGAGAGAGGGAGAGGGAGTTCGAGGGAAGTGAGTCAGGAGGGCGAAGCGAGAGCGTCGTAGGAAATGGCAAGGGAGGAGGAGGAGAAGGAAGAGGGGTGGAAGGTGGCAGGGGTGGAGACGAGTGGGTGTCACAGACGTCGTAGTTGTAGTCGTCGAGCGATGACGAGTGATGTGGCGGTCGTGGTGGCCAGGTTGAGGTTAGGCGGAGGTTAGGGACGTGTGTGTTCGCCGCGGCTTTTAAAGGGGAGACTCGTGGAAATGAAACTGGAGCGGAAAGAAGGCAAACATTAGCTCTTAACGTGTTGACACTTGCTCATTCCACCGGCAAGAAGGATGAACGGTAAAAAAAGGGAATTACATATTCAGGAGAAATATACAAGATAATCTGAATTTCAAGTTAGGTAATAAAAAATAATAAAAGAATATATTCATACTCTGTCTATCTATATATCTCTCTATCTATTTATCTATCTACCTATCTACATACACAAATATATATAGAAATATATATATATACATATACATACATATGTGTATACATTTATATATATATATATATATATATATATATATATATATATATATATATATATTTATATATATATATATATATATCCGCAAAAGACGAATTATTATTTGGATGCACATGAATGATATAACATTTACGAATAATTGATCTCCAGGTGCGCGCTAACGCTGTGCCATAATTAAATCATATATAGTATCATATATATATATATATATATATATATATATATATATATATATATATATATATATATATATATATATATATATATATATATAGACACACACACACACACAAATATATATATATAAATATGATGGTATATACATATCATCATCAGCCTGAATGAATCCACTGCAGGACGTAGGACTCTCACAATCTTTTCCAACTTTGTCTGTCTTTTTGTTTCCAGTCTTGGCCCCCAAATTTCGTTATTTCGTCACGCCATCTTGTCATTGGTCTGGCCCTTGGCCTCTTTGTGTTATCTATAGCTCAGTCTGTTACTTTGTCCATCTGCCGTCCTCTCTTCGACAGTTATGAACTGCCCATTGCCATTTTTTCTCTTTGATGACACAAGTACACATTTCATTTGAATGCGATCTTAGTCTTTTTCTTGTTCATCCTAAGTCCGATTTATATTGTTTTTTTATATTGTTTAGGTATTCATCTCCTCTTTTGATATCCTTTCCGTTCCATTCGAGCTTCTTCAATACTTCCTTTAAGACAAGTTGTAAACAGTTTTGGTGAGATTATATCGCCCTGTCTAACACATATTTTGATTGGTATTTTATCGATTTCCGTGTGGAGCCTGATGGTTGCTGTCTCACCTTCGTATTCATCTTGCAATATTTTACAATATACCTTCTCTACTCCCTGTCTTCGAATAGCTTCAAGTACTGCTGGTATTTGTACAGAGTCAAATACCTTTTTGTAATTGATGAATTAGAGGTTTCTTATATTCGATTATTTTTTCTCTTATTTGGGTGAGCGTGTGGATGCGGTCTGTTGTTGAGAATCGACTGTGGAAGCCTGCCTGTTCTCTAGACTGGTTAGAATCCAGACTGTCAGAGAATCGAGTTGTGATAGCTTTTGTGAACGGTTTGTAAGTAACTGAAAGGAGGCTTATGAGTCGGTAGTTTTTTTAGATCCTTTCTATCCCATTTCTTAAAAAGATTGGCTAGTTTCATTGTTGCAATTTCTCCTGCATCTATTATAAGGTCTATACTAATTCCGTCTTCATCTGGCATGTTCCCTCTCTTTATTCCTTTAAATGCTCTTTATTTCTTCTGTTGTTATGTTTGTTACGTCTCTAGTTACCGCGTTCACTTCTATCCGTGGTTGTTCATTTGAGTTGTATATATCCCTGTAAAAGTCTTTCACTACTTTTATCATTTCAGTCTTATGATATGACACTTCTCCGTTTGGTTTCTTTGTTGCATACATTTGATTTCTCCCTTTTCCGAGTAATGTTAGCTGTTTTCATGCTGGTACCTGAGATCACTGTTTCATTTATTATTTGAGTATTGAATTTCCGTACATCTCTCTTCTTTTTATTTATAGTCTTTGTTAGATCAGCTAATTCTATCATGCCCCTGTTTGACGATACTTTCATGACCCTACGTTTTTGTATAAGTGTATAGTTTCTACTGAGAGCTCGCTGGAGCTTTGTTTGTTCTTACCGCCTACTTCAAGTGCAACTTCCTTTATTATGTCATTGAACTATTTGTTGATTTGGTCAGTGTTGAAATATTCGTCGCTGAGATATTAATATCTGTTTTGGATGTTAAGTCAAATTCCGTCGCTCTGGTCTTCAAGTTGCGCTAAATTTGGCTGCGGTTTTCGTATGAGTTTGTTCCTTTCCCTTTTGCGGTGTAACTTTATTTGGCCTCTGACCATTCTATGGTCGCTGCCAACATTAACTTCCACATTTTTTTTTACCATATCGCGCCTATTTGAAATTATGAAGTTGATTTCGTTTTTGATGTCAGATGGCGACTTCCATGTCCACTTCCGCTCTAGTCTTTTTTCGAAGAATGTATTCATGATATTGAGTGATTAAGCCTCCGCAAAATCGGTTAGCATTTGTCCTCTCTCATTCCTAGTGCCTATTCCGTGATTCCCCACTTCTTCTGTCTTTTTACCTATTTTGGCATTAAAATCTCCCATGATTATTGTGAAGTGGGTTTTTACTCTCTCGCTGGGTAAATGAACATCTTCATAGAAGCTCTTTATTTCTTCATCACTGTCTCTGCAGGTTGGAGCATAGACTTGAACAATCTTTAAGTTGTACCTCTTGTTTAGTTTTATTGTCACTGAAGCCACTCTTTCGCTTTCACTATAGAATTCCACAATATTCTTTTCTTTAGAGCACGTGTCCATCTTTAGTATCTTCTGCTCTTCTCCAAGTCTTCTAACTTCATAGAGTCCTACAACATCCCATTTAATGAAAGAGAGTTCCTCAAGTAATGCTAATAAGTCGGATTCAGTTCTCATTGTCCTTATATATGCAAAAGTTCATCAACGTGGGGCGGCCTGTTTTAACCGGAGATTTTTAGCACCCTCTGCTCCGGAGCGATCCTGATCGCTGCCGTAACCAGGCCCTGTCTAGTGTGGGCTTATGAGCAGCAATGCACGGGCCTGCTCACTACACCAGGGTATACTCGCGTGAGCATGGGCTTGAGTATCAAAAGTGTATATACGTCTAATTACATTTTATACACTGATTTTATTTTATTTATGCGTATTACACTTAGTGCAGACGTAATTGTTCACGCAAATGTTCATTTTTGTACACATGCACATGCAAGCATACACCTTTACATATGCTCCTATGCATATGATATGCATGCACACTCTTACATTATACACAACTACAGACTTGCGCATGCATACACATATACAGACATATGCGCACATCATATGCGCATACATATATGTATAAGCACCCACATATATGCGAACACACACATGCGGAGACATCTTGTACACATACTTATGACTATACAGACACATATAAATATAGCCATACGCATGCTTACGTAAACGTGTATGTGCGCATA